TATTTATAATTTTTTTTTTATCAGATCAACTTGTTTTTTGAGATAATAGTGTTACTCGTGCAGCAGTCTGTTTTGGATTTTTGTATTGGGAAAAGGTTAAAAAACAACTTAAAGTTTTCCCAGAGAACCCAACAGAGGGAACCTCCATTGTCAAGCTAACTGGTAGCCTATAGACCAATATAATACTGTGTTTAAATAGAGTCATTCTCAGTTACCATCTAATTTTTTTTCTAAACTCACTGGTGTCTACAGACTACAGTCCCTACACTGCAAAAGAATGTGATTACACTTCTGTCAGACTATAAACAGTCGAATTCATGGTTTCAAATAGCAATAGCAACAATGAAGCAGAATCCTGACACCATACTTAACACAAACCCTTGAAACTAAAAACACGTTGAAAAAGTTTGTTTACAGCGCATTTAATTTAATTTTCTTCCTTTTTCTTTTTTTTCTTTTTTTTTGGCAATGCTGTCAGAATAAATGTATGTTCAGATGAAGAGGGAGGAAAATTCTCTTGAAGCTCGTTGATTACTTCATCAAAACTTTCCACTACAGAGTTGGGAAAATTTTAGTGGAGTCTGAAGTAAGAAAGGATCCAAAAAGAAAAGGAAGCTGGCAGAACGACCAGACAGATGAGAGTGCTTTGTGTTTTGTGTTGCGGCCTCATGTCAGTCATTCCAATGAAGGCCTATTTTCATATGCTGATTATACAATAAACAGAGAACCGTTCTGGGCTGCTGAACAGGAAAGAGTGTCAGAATGTTAAAGACGAGACGTATTATATTTGTAGTAGGTGATGGGGTGGGAAGATTTGAGATCTGCCTATAGTTCAGTTTAAATACCAAATTCAGTAGCTGTGTGAGAGAAAATCAGTTGCAAGCATCTTTAAATAATTTGCCAGTCTGATTACAAAGGTAAAAAAAAAATAAAAACTCCTGTAATGTAGTCAGAAAACAGATGTGTTTCCTTCCTAGCAGTGGGTGTTATATTCCCAAACAAGGCGACGTGGAGCACAGACGGTCAGTGTGTTTCCATTGAAGCATTTCTGCGCCCTCATTTGATGCTCCCATGTGTTGTCTGGCCAAATCCCCATCAGCGACGCTGTCGGGGTGTATCAGAAAGGAGCTGATAGATATACCGTCATGTTGATGGACTATCAGCTGTGCCTCTCGCCCTGCAGCCCCTGACAGCCAGCTGGCAGGAGAGTGATTATCCCTGGAGAGGTGTCTTCATAGAATAATGTTATCACAAGTCAAGTTTTCCTCTGTGAGGTCAACTTGAAACACGGCGTCTTCGGACGCTTTTATGGTTGATCGGGAAACTTAATATACATTTATAGTGGCAACACAGCACTGAAATTTCATCTTGCTTTATTTCGTCTGGAATATCTGGCTTTAGCTTGGTTTTAGTAGAGAATTTTGTAAATTTCCACATTTATTACTCAGGAACATTTTTCCTTGTTATGAGCAAATCATTTCTTATATGATGACACATGCACCCCTTTAACACCAGATACATTCATTGGCATCCTATGTATAAAAAAAGTTTTCAAACCTTTGTGAATAATCTAAAAATATATTTTGAAAAGGCTGTCATTGATTTTGGAAGAAAAACTGTGCTTCTTTTCACACATCCTGCCCAATATTAGACAGTGTAAACAGTCATATTTTTTTTAACTATTCATTTTTGAGTTCTCAT